TCCAATTTTTGGTGAATTCTCCCCTTCAACTCGTTGTATGTAGTGCCCCGTTTGATTTTCAACATTTTTGTTTTTCTTCAAATTGAACACCATTGGGACCTTCATAATGCCTTCCATCGTGGTAGATCATTGTAATATACATGTTTGGACTTGACCTCATCTTTACACGAATTTGGGATTAGGGTTCAGATTTTGGGGTTTGGGTTCAGATTTTCCCAACAACAAAGGGAATACAAAGGTGCAATGACAATGATTTCACAAGATTAAGGCTTTAGAGAGGGTGGGATGAAATAGACTCTTGATAGTTTGGATTACAGATGACAAATAAGAGAGATTTGGTTTAAAAAATGAGTATAGTTGAAATGAGACCGAGAAATGTAAATACAGGGTTTCTGCCGAGTTTTAATCTATTAACTAGGGGTTTAATCGATTAAATATCCCGAGATTTAATCGATTAAGAGGGATATTTAATCGATTAAACCTCGGGTCAACATTTTTTTGCGTATCTTGACCGTTTAACCGATTAAATATTTAAGTTAATCGATTAAAGAGGGGCAGGTTGGTGGATAGTTTTGGATAAGGAGCAAATGATTATTAATTAATTAATGAGGAGCAAAAATGTCAAATAGCACAAATTTCCATGCTTCTTTTTCCTTATTTAAAGCAATATATCATTTAAATGCTATTTTTATAATTTTATATCCTGATAATAATCTTAATTACGTAAAAAATTTCGTATACTTTTATAATGAAAAGATATAAGATAGTGTGTTAGAAGGATATTTAAATATGAACCGATGAGTTGGAACAATTAAACAACAATATGTTAGGTGAATAGGTGCATATTTTAAGCCATTAGGTTTGGTCTAATAATGAAAGATTTGGGTATGTTCTATTAGATTATATGTTTAATTTTTTCTTATATAGGTGCATATTTTTTGTTTTATAGTTGGATACTGGCATTTCATAATCAAGTAATTGGGCCTTGAAATCAGAATGAAAAGATGAATTTGACAATATTTTGTGTATAAATTTGTTGTCAGAGTTGTTGCTATTCTTGCCAACTTACCTTGTTATTTCTTTTATGATAATTTTTTATTGCTAAATAATTAACCCCACTTTCTTCTCATTTTATTGAAATAGACAACAAAAATGAGGTTTGGCTATTGTTGAGATATATAGTCCCACATTGGTTATATGTGCAACTAATGTGGCCTTTATAAGGCCTTGAGCACTCCCACCCTTTGAGCTAGCTTTTGGGGTGGTGTATCCCAAGGTTCTTTACATGGTATCAAAGCCTCGCCGCCCCCTCTTGTGGCGTTTCTTAGCACAGGTAGGCTGGGCCTGTTGCATTGTCCACTCTTCAAGCTCAATGGGCTCTCGTGTGAGGGGGCGTGTTGAGATATATAGTCCCACATTGGTTGTATGTGCAACTAATGTGACCTTTATAAGGCTTTGAGCACTCCCACCCTTTGAGCTAGCTTTTGGGGTGGTGACCTCAAGGTTCTTTACAGCTATATTTGTAAAGCAGTTCAGGGGAAAATTTTCATTTTCAAAATAACCAAAACATTATAACCTGCCTAGTAGATATTGTTGGGTCTTTATTCTTTTACTAAAAGCCCATTTGAGCTTTAGTGTATAAGAAAAACACAAGAAGTCTACGTTTGGTTTTCTTAGTGCCTATATTAGGAAAATTATTCTCTCATGTAATAAGAGAGAGTTATTTTATGTTGTAAATACATCAATAAATATGTTTTTTATTTATTTTTATTTTTTAACACATAGTGGGATCCACCATGTGTTGGGCCCATATATATATATATATATATATATATATATATATATATATATATATATATATATATATATATATATATATATATATATATGGGAGATGATTTTCTCATGTCACTGCTGAGAAATCATCTCCTGTTGCCATGCTAATTTTTTTTTCCAAATTTTTCTTTATTTTTTTACTTTTAATGGTGATGGGTCCCACTATGTAATTGTCTCTATGGCAGAAGATATATATAAACTGCAATATAAAAAAATGTTTGCCATATATATATATATATATATCTATATGAGATTAACAGACAAGATTAAGAGTGTAACTTACACTGGTGTAAAATGATCCTGATCATATATATATATATATATATATGAAAAAATGTGTGTTCTTTTAAAGGACATAGACTTGGATTCTTTTAAGATAGAGATAGACACAAAGAGGTATGAGTCTAACTGAAAAAAAGAAAGACAAAAAAAGGTGTGGGTTACACCTCTTTGTTTTTATCTTTCTCTTAAAAGAACCTAAATTTGTGTCCTTTAAAAGGACACACACATATAGGTAAAATTATATCTAAAGTTGTTGTACGTACGACAATGACAGGTGTATGGTTATGATTCCCCACATTTAATACTTCCACATTTTGTGTGGTTATAAATTCCCCACACTAAATGTTTTAACCTATATATATAGAAAATTTGTCAATGGTATATGTAAAGCGCCTCCATAAAAATAAATAAATAAATAAATATATATATATATATATATATATATATATATATGTATATATGTATATATGTGTGTGTGTGTGTGTGTGTTTGTGTGTAGAAGGGAAAACTTACATCATGTGGCATGAGAATAGTTTTTTCCATATATATATATATATATAGAGAGAGAGGTTTAGCGGATGTATAGTGACTGCACCTAAGGAGTGGTGCAGTGATATAAAATTACGTCGTTTTATAGCGTGAAAGCATTAAATATGAGAAATCATAACCAAACAAAGGTGGAAATAAATATAAAACATTAAATATAGAAAATCATAACCATGCAAAAGTGGAAAAAATATAATATTTCTATTTTCTACAATTAATTTTGAACGCGAACTTCCTTTATTCCACCTAAAACGACGTAGTTTCTTGGTGACTGCACTAATGCTTATATGCAGTCACATTAAAAATAATTTTGCCTATATATATATATATGTATGTATATATATATATGGAAAAATATTTTTTCTTTTAAAGGATCTAAACTTATATCATTTTAGATCCTAACTGTTGATTTTCGTCAATCGACGATTAGGATTAATGGATTTTATTGTCTTTTAAAAAACTATTCTCATGCCACTTGACGTAAGTTTTCTCTCCTACACACCCTTCGATAATTGTGTCACTTTTTTCTTTGCTTTTCTTTTTATTTTTTCAAGTGGTGGAGCCTATAAATTTGTCTCTATGACATGAGATAATTTATCTCCTTTAACATGAGATTAATAAGACCTTATATATATATAGGGTTCATTTTTTCTAAAGTTACTTTTGATAACTTTATCTAATGTTCGCCAAAACGACGTCGTTTTGGGGCGAAAATCATGGTGTATTTGTAATTTTAATTTATTTCAGGGTTATAATAGTATTTATCATTATAATTTTTTAAATTTTCAACCTCAAAACTTATCATTCTAATTTTTTAATTTTTCAACCTCAAAACGACGTCGTTTCGGTGAATATTCGATAAAATTATCTAAAGTAACATTAGATATTTTTCCCCACATATATATATATATATATATATATATATATATATATAAGGTTTGCTTTTTCTACTGTCAATGTAGATATCTTATCTACATTGAGCTCAAAATGGCGTCATTTTGAGACGGAAATTAAGGTATTTTTTAATTATAATTTATTTCAGAGTTATAATAGTCTTTTTTGTTATAATTTTTTAATTTTTCAACCTAAAGCGACGTCATTTTGGGAGCGAATGTAGAAAACTTATCTACATTCACTTTAGAAACATTAGAGCCATATATATATATATATAGGCAAAATGATTTGTAATGTGACTGTATATAAGCATTGGTGCAGTCACCTAAAAACTATGTCGTTTTGGGTGGGATAAAGGAAGTTTGCATTTAAAATTAATTGTAGAAAATAAAAATATTATATTTATTTCCAACTTTGTATGGTTATGATTCTCCATATTTAATGCTTTTGCATTATAAAATGATGTAGTTTTATATGACTGCACCAATCCTTAGGTGCAGTCACTTTACATCCGCTAAATCCATATATATATATATGGGACAGAGTATTCTTACACCGCTAGGATCATTTGACACCTGTGTCAAATTTGAAATTTGACACCTCATCTGAGAGCTCTTAGATCAAAAAAGATCAATGGTGTCGCATGTTTACAAATCAAAGTCGTTGATCTTTTGAGATCTAATGGCTCTTAGATGAGGTGTCAAAGGATCCTACCTCATACACACACACACACACACACATATATATATATATATATATATACATACTTTCTTATGTTTTTTAGCCGGGTTTGATGAGTGTCAAGTCACTGGATATAAGCTTTTGTCAAGTCACTAAATCATAACCGTACAAAAGTGAAGCAATGGTGATAAAGGAAGAGAGAGAAAAACAACATCATAACCATTCAAAGATGAATCAATAAATATAATGAAATAAATAAACAAAACGACGTAGTTTAATACTGACTTGACCATCCAGTGACATAATGAACAATAAACCCTTTTTAGCCCTTACGATTGTTAGATTAGAAAACTGGAAATATTTAGTGGGGAAATACATCTATCCTTTTAAAGGATATAAGTTTATATCTTTTTAGATCCTAACCGTTGATTTCCGTCTATCAACGGTCATAATCTATTGGACCAAACTTAATGGACCAAATTTATTATTAATTAATTAATAATTTTAATCCAATAAATTATAACCGTTGATGGACGGAAATCAACGGTTAGGATCTAAAAAGATATAAGTTTATATCCTTTAAAAGGATAGATGTTATTCCCTATTTAGTGCCAACGTACTCCTTCCCTTCCTTTGGCAGAGTAGAGTTGATCTAAGGAGATTCCACAGTAGCAGAGAAAAAAGGGAACATCACATCTACACAATGGGAAATTCTTGCGGATCCGCGGAACAGGTATACTATTATATTGCATGATGATTTATCGTGTTCCAAACTGCAACGGTTTTTTCACTTCCATAGATCCAATTGTGCCAAGAGATACAAGGATTATAGCAATTTGTTTTAGTAGAAGGATTATAGCATTTTAAAGTAATCTAACTTGGCTAACATCAAATAGGTTCAGGTTCAATAGCAATCAATACTTCGCATCAACCAGTAAGCAACAAAAACATTGAAAATCATGCCATATGAACATATCATGTTACCAAACTCATCCATTTAAACGGTAACTTCTTCCGCGGAAAGCAATTCCATCACCCTGATTCTGCTGTTGTGGGGAGGAACCATTCCTATTAGTTTGCTCTGCAGTGCTTCTTGTTGTTATTTGAGTCCCACCAAGACGGTGGCTTCTTCCTCTGAATACAATTCCATCTGATGGATTTGATTGCACTGGGGCATTTATTTGTGTACCCTCTCCCCAATATGCCACTATTTTGTGACTGGTGTCATGCATAATTAAGGATTATGAAAATGTATCAACCTAACATAAACTTTAGAAATAACATGCACCAAAAAAGAACTTGGTATAGTAAATGATATTCAATTTGAACCAACGACAATCTCTTTCTCCCTCCATAACTCTAGCTTGGACCATTCCAATTTTTTGGAGATATTTCAATGGATTCATCACTTTGTGACTAGTTTGATTTGGAGAAAGTCCTAAAATTAAGGCTTTAAACTCTTACTAAAGATAGTACTGAGAAGGATCAAACACATGCTCTAATCTTCACCTGCTCAATTTTTTTGTGCCAACTGAGATACCATTATCTGCACTAAATCTAAGGCTTTTTACTTATAACAATAGGGAGACTCATTATAATAAACAGTTCTAATCTTATTCTCCAGGAGATTGGACTCATGAGTCCTTGGCTAAAAGGGAGTGTCCATGGGAGGAGAGAAATATCATCAATGGACTAGGTAACAATCCACAATAATAAGTGAACTTGATACCATATCTTAGTTCAGAACTTTAAGACATTAGATTTATGGATCTTTTCACTTGTATGTATTTTGCTTAGCTAGTTTATTTCCGTTACCAGATAAATCTCTTGAATTCCCAATACTTTGAACATGGAGGCAATGTAGATCATGTGATCGTTGCCACAGAATGTGTTTCGAACGATATAATTCATGGATCAGGGTGTTGAAAGACTGATTTGTTTTCTAAATTATCATAAGAGCATTTTGAAATGGAATATGTAAAGTGTAAAACGAATGAGAGCAATTTGATATAATCTTATTGACCTAAAGGAACCTGATAAAAGAAAGGATACATCCACAGAGGAGTCTTGAACTTGAACTTCCCACCAGCAAGAGGATGAAGCACTGTTAAAAAGTAATATAGGTGTCCTACAAGCATCCCTAGGATGTTTGGCTTTAAACGATTTCCAAATATTAAATCCAGAGCTAGCAAAGCCCATGGAAGGTAAAATCCCTGCACAAAACAGAAGTTTAATAAAAGCTTGATAGTTCCATTTATGAATGGTTTAAGTATAATAATTCTAACACATTATTAATAATATGACAGATTTTACATATCATTAAATTGCATGAATGTTAATATATTAAAAGTATTAACATAAGGTCTTTTCTTATCTTTCTTAACTCACATGAGAATCAAATTCTTTTTCAAACCTCCCTTGTTGCTTTATTTTTATTCTATTGATCTTGTCAAGGGTATGATTTGGGGAGACAACTGAAAAGTCGTGTTAAATATTTTTTCCTTTAAATGTATTAAGAATTAGTAGAGTTAACTTACGCAGGAATTTCTTTGCCCTCATTTTTGGAGGCTGAGGAAGAGGAGGAATATAGACTAGCGAGAAGGGAAGACAGAGGAAAACAGAGACGGGAAAAAGCTAGCGGAAGTAGTCTTAAAAGGATCTTACATAGGAGAACATCTTCCATACATCTGTAGTAGATAACTCCATTAAACAACTGACATTTGGATAAAAAATTATTTCTCTCTCCTATGTGTACAAATATCACAATTATTTATAGATTTCTATTGGCTGGTAGCACCAAACAAATGGTACTACAGTAGTATATTAGATATTTCCCTTACATAGACATATACACACTCATGCTCGCACTTACTGTATATAAATAAAGGGAAAAAGTGTTTGTAATTTTAAATGACATAAAGTTATGTCATTGTAAAAGAGAGATAGACACAAAATAATCACTCATTTTTTCTTCAATGATTTTCATTTTTGTGTTTATCTCTCTCCTAAAATGACATAACTTATGTCATTTAAAATGACAAACATCAGACCCATAAATAAGCGAAGGGTAATAGTTTTTTCATGCAGTAAGAGATAACTATTATATTTATCTCCTACAGACTCATTTATGCAGGTGAGGTTCACTTTTAGGGGGAGAGAGAAAAAAAAATAGAATGAAACTCATCTTGAATTTGTGTATGTAGGAGATAAATTCTTTTTTATATAACATAAAAATAATAAATCCCATAAATGAAATATAGATAGGGTGTGCACGATTCACTTCGGTTCAATTTTCTATATTGAACTAAACCGAATAGTAAAAGTAATTCGGTTCATGTGAACCGAATCAATTTTAAAAAGTAATTCGTTTTTCGATCCAATTTGAAAAAAATGATTCAATTCATAAATTGGTTCAAAAAAATGTGGTATTGGTTCAAAAAAATGTGGTATGGTTTGTCTTGTTCACAGTGTGGTTTGGTGCATTTGTTTTTCCATACTCCTAAAAATGTGTATACCTCGGTTCAGTTTGGTTTTAAACTCAAACTGAATTGGTAAAATAATTCAGTTAAACCAAATGATACTAACTCAATTGGCGTCAAAGATTGAGCAGCAGAGGAGAGAGCATGTGTTTAATCCTCTTTAATACTTTTTTGGGAAGAGTTTAAAACCTTAATCATGTACTCCCGAATTAGATTAGTTGCGAAGTGATGAACCAATTTAACTATCTAAAAAAAAAAAATTCAATTCAAGAATCAAACTAGTTTCAAAAAATAATTGAGTTCTTGAACCAGTTTGAAAAAAATAGTTCGATTCTTATACGGATTTAAAAAATAATTATTTTTATCCGTTCGTTTCGGAATACAATTCATTTTGGTTCATTTGAATATTTCTATTCCGGATGGCCCAACAAGGCTACGACCCAAAGGTCCAGGCCCAATCTCAACCCTCAAGACACGTCAGCCCTACCAGCTGGTGAGATCCCCCAACTCCCAACACGACGACTCTCCCAAGGGGAAACACCGAAATGTCCTACCTTGGGATCATAACCCCCGAAGGCAGTCGGCCCAGATGCCATAAAGAGAAACTGCCCTTTGTCCCACGCTGACATCGCCAGGCATAGGGGTCGCAGCGCTGCTATCACAGCAGTGTCTGCCACGCCCAGCACAGCCACCCTTAGCAGGTCCCAAGGAGGGTTGACCCCCTCCTCACCAACACAAGCAAGATTCACATCACCTCCTCTATAAATAGCTCCCTAGCAAAATCTTATCTTATGTATCGTTATTCTGCCCATTTACATTGAGTCACACATCCACACACCTACCTCATTGTTAATTGTTTGTTTCATACTTGGAACTGTATCACTTAGCTTGGTCTCTACCTGTGCTAAGGGTATAATCCATTTAGTGACTCCATCCCCAAAGAGAACATAGTGGGCTTATAGATCCCAACGGTACATTGGCACCGTCTGTGGGAAATTATAAACTTTTATTCCCATTCTCTTACCAAAGATCTAAAGGAGGCATTTCACTTTCTGATAGCAAAACATGGCTGTCACGACAAGAAGAGCAGAGCAAGCTAGAGCTGTTACCCCTGAAGGTCATGCACAAACAGTTCATTCTAACTCTCCACCATCCAGGCATTCAGCCCCAGCGAAACAAGCAGCCGGGGAGGCCCATCCCCCGGTACTGCAATATGTTGGCCCACAGTTACCAGCAGCAGACGCTGAAGTAGCACAGCTAAATCGTCGCGTAGCCATACGTGAAATGCAAGGTGTTGGCCTCAGCTGAATCGTGGGTGTTGAGGCCATCAGCGCAGCTTTGGTCAGAGAACCAAAAGAAGGAAAACAGTCAATTTATTTCGTCAGCAAAGTGTTGCAAGGGGCAGAATTGCGGTATCAGCAAGTTGAAAAGTCGCCCTCACACTCATCTTCGCCGCGCGAAGGCTGAGGTCGTATTTCATTGCCACCCTATCACGATCAGATCCAATCAGCCTATTCGCCAAGTCCTGCACAAACCTGATCTCGCCGGAAGAATGATGTCCTGGGCGATTGAACTGGCGGAGTACCAGATCAGTTACGAACCCAGAACCGCCATCAAAGCTCAAGCTCTCACAGATTTCATAGCCGAAATGACGCACACCTGCGAAGCAGCTAGCCAAGCAACTGAAACCCCATGGTTGGCGCTGTGGAAGCTATATGTTGATGGCTCTACCAACACCAAAGGATCCGGCGCCAGAATAATAATTGAAAATCCAGACGGTGTGGCAATGGAGCATTCTTTATCTTTCAACTTTAATACCACTAACAACCAAGCTGAGTATGAGGAAATGATTGCCGGCCTGCTCCAGGCCAAAGAGCTGGGAGCGCAACATCTCAAGGTTTTCAGTGATTCTCAGTTGGTGGCATTTCAATTTTCGGGTGAATATCAAGCTAAAGGGCCGCTGATGTGCAAGTACTTAGAGAAAGTCAAAGAGATAATTTTGACCTTCGAGACAGTTGAAATTGAGCACATTAGGCGATCAGAAAACACACGTGCGGACATCCTCGCCAAGCTAGCAAGCACCAAGAGTCCAGGTAATAATCGTTCCGTCATCCAGCATAACCTGCCTAATCCATGCATCGTCATGAGTATTGCAGACGTCGCCGAAGGAGTCGCCGAAGATACCTGGATCACTCCTATCTCTAACTACCTATCAGAAGGTACCCTCCCAGTGGACCAGACAGAAGCCAAGAGGATAAAGCGGAAATGCGCCCACTTTTGCATGATGCCGGGGCGCCTATACAAAAGGGGCTGCTCAACCCCACTGTTGAAATGCTTGAACCCCAGCGATGTTGGGTACGTTTTGGAAGAAATCCATGAAGTAATCAATGGCCACCATATGGGCGGCTACTCTCTGGCAAAGAAAGCTCTCCGATCAGGTTTTTATTGGCCGACCATGGAGCATGACGCCCATGAGCACGTTAAAGCGTATGATAAGTGCCAAAGACTTGCAGACATACACAAAGCCCCACCAGAAGAACTTACTGTGATAACATCCCCTTGGCCTTTTTACAAATGGGGGATGGACCTCTTGGGCCCTTTCCCTGAGGCGGCAGGTCGAGTTCGGTGGCTGATCGTCGCCATTGACTACTTCACCAAATGGGTTGAAGCAGAGCCAGTTGCTACCATTACCTCTCAAAGGGAGAGGAAGTTCTTTTGGAGAAATTTGTTTACCGTTTCGGAATCCCGGGAGAAGTCATAACGGACAATGGTACTCAGTTCATAGACGCCAAGTTCTAGGAGCTAATGAAGGACCTGCACATTTGACACCATTTCGCTGCAGTAGAACACCCACAATCCAACGGGATAGTAGAATCAGCTAACAAAATGCGAGCTAAGGGAATCAAGAAGAAGCTGGAATCTCATAAAGGGGCGTGGGTTGAAAATCTGGAGAATGTCCTATGGGGCTATCGGACAACCGCCCAGTCCAGTACCAGAGAAACCCCTTTCAGATTGACTTACGACACGGAGACAATGATTCCTGTTGAAATCGGAGAACCCTCTTAGAGGAAAGACCATGTGACCGAAGTAACCAACAACCAAAACCTCAATGAAGCTCTAGACCTTCTGGATGAGCTCAGAGAGCGAGCAGCACAATCTGAGCGCCAAACCAAGGAGAGGATAGCTGCTCGGTACAACAAAAGAGTAATCTTGAGGAGATTTGAAGTAAAGGATTTAGTCCTTCGGCGAGCAGCCATCAGAAAGAAGAACGCCCGTGAAGGAAAGCTCGCCCAAACTGGGAAAGACCTTATCGAATAGCCAACAAGTTAGGAGGAAGAGCATATGCTTTGGAGACACTTGAGGGAAAGGCCATCCTAAGGGCGTGGAACGCTGACAAGCTCCGACGATACTATAGCTAAACCACAATGTAACCTGTATACTACACTCTTTTCCTTCCCAAGCTTTTGTCCCACTGGGTTTTGCCTGGGAAGGTTTTTAACGAGGCAGGTCATTTCTTTTTGATCAAAAAAATCCCATTGAAACCTTTTTCTATCTGTTAATATCAAAGTTACTGGATGGTTCTCACCCCCGCCTAACGTTGGACTGGGATGGTTCTCACCTCCAGCCAACATCAAAGTTACTGGCATGGTTCTCACCCCCAACCAACTTCAAGTTATGGGATGGTTCTCACCCCCGCCTAACGTTGGACTGGGATGGTTCTCACCTCCAGCCAACATCAAAGTTACAGGGATGGTTCTCACCCCCAGCCAACTTCAAGTTACGGGAAGGTTCTCATCGCCGCCTAACGTTGGACTAGGATGGTTCTCACCCCCAGCCAACTTCAAGTTACGGGAAGGTTCTCACCCCCGCCTAACGTTGGACTGGGATGGTTCTCACTCCCCAGCCAACATCAAAGTTACGAGACAGTTCTCACCCCCACCTAACGTTGCACTGGGATGGTTCTCACCCCCAGCCAACATCAAACTAACGAGATGGTTCTCACCCCCGCCACAGTTGTACTGAGATGGTTTTCACCCCCAGACAACGCCCAACTAACGGGATGGTTCTCACCCCTGCCACAGTTGGACTGGGAGGGTTCTCACCCCTAGACAACACCCAACTAACGGGATGGTTCTCACCCCCGCCACAGTTGCACTGGGATGGTTTTCACCCCCAGACAACGCCCAACTAACGGGATGGTTCTCACCCTCGCCACAGTTGGACTGGGATGGTTCTCACCCTTGCCACAGTTGGACTGGGATGGTTCTCACCCGCAGCCAACGCCCAACTAAAAGGAGAGTTCATCAATTAAAGAAAGGTTAGAAAGAAAGCGGAAAGCAAAGTTCATTGATTGATAAGAAATACAAGTCCGCGGTTGACATACCAACCACGGCAAAAAGATGAAAGCTACCGGTTGACACACCAACTGTGCCAAACTATATCTAAATCTGCAACATAAAGTTTAAGACCTTCAGTTGTGGCCGCCCCTTCAGCAGCTTCCGGGGCCTGTTCAGTCGTGCCCTCCTCAGCAATCTTCTGGGCCTGCTCGATCACGCCCGCTTCAGCAACGCCACCCCTAGTCGCCACGTCTGGGCCACCCAAAGTCACGTCAACATGTCACGCCCAGCCTCATCCTTTTCAGGATTATCATCACCAGTGGCATCACTGATAGGAAGGGCTTTTGGCAAACCTTCATCCTCGTCAATCTCAGGGCCCTCCTCAATCACTGTCACTCCACCACCTGCTAGGAGCTCAACTATCTTGTTGTCTTCCACCTCGTAGTCTAGGCTGAAACCGGTCAAGTCAAGCTCAGGATGCCGAACCGAAACTTGCTGGAGTGCGTTGTTAAAAGAACCATACATAAGGTTCGCTAAGGCTTCCTCCAATTTTTCCACTCGCCCAATGGCCTTTTTGAAGTCCTCCTATGCGGCGTGGAGGTTCCCATGCGCGGAAAATAAGTCAGCAGACAACTGGGCTTTTTCAGATTGGAGACCCCCCTTCTCCTTCCTAGACTCTTCCAGCGACTTTGATAGGTCATCTTTCTCGGAGGTTAGGCGTTTAACCTCTGCTTCCGCCTTCTTCAGTTTTGCGGTCAAAAACTTGTTCGCAGCCTTTTTGTCAGCAAGCTCCTTATCAAGGCGCCCATCTTCAGCAGTAAGATCATCTACTTTACGCCCCATCTCATCAAGGCGTTCATCCTGGGAGGAGCAACGACTGTCAACAGCAAGGGCGACCTCTTGCATTCCCAAGATACGACCAATGACCACTTGCGTGCAGTTCATGAATTCCTGACGATCGATGCGTTCTGGCACCACAATCCTAGGACGCCCAATGTTAGGAAAAGAAGAGTTAAGGTCCCTCTCTGATAGTTTGAGGGCCCTGCCAACTGGGATCTTAGCAAAAGGAGGAGGATCCTGCGCACCAGCTGTTACATGAGGCGCTTCTCCATCAAAACTGCTGGTTTCCATCACCCCATCACTGCCTGAGTCCTTAAGAACGCCACCCGAGACGTGGCAGTCGCCATCGGAAAACTGCCTACACTCTGACTGATCAAGGCGCGACATCTTGGAGCCCTTTGGCAGAATTAAGCTTTCTTCCCCCCCCCCCCCCGTTTCAGACTCGACCCCCCACGAGCAGGCGATCAGAGAGTCGACTCACTCGCCGACGAACCTCTCACCACATTCGTGGGCTCTTTAATTATAGGGCCAGTCGCCCTCTTCCCCAACTCACCGGCGGAAATATCTGCAGCTGACCGGATTTTCTTCTTGGCTTGGTGGACTTATTTCTTCTTTCCTTTGTCCACACCTTTCCTCTTCGAGGCGGGGTTTGGGTTAACCTGGGGAACCACACCTGTAGCGGCTTTGAGCTTGGCAGCTGCCTGACGTGCAAGTCTCAGCGTCTCCATCGACAAGATTTCAACTGCAAGACAGGGAAAACAAGTGTTAGTAAAGACAGTTAATACTCACCACAGTCACAAATGGTACAAAACACCTCCACACCTCCGTGACACAACACCCTTTTCGAAGGCCACCGGTCAAGACCCCCTTTTACCTCCACAAACCACTCCACCACCAGTGCCTCTTCAGGAGACAAGGCTCCCCACCCAAATGAATACTAACTGGAAGGCGTCTCATAATGGTCTTTAGTCCAGTATAGCAGAAACTGACTCTCCCCCTCGCCCGATCAAGGAAAAAAGGTAATTCCCCCTCGTCAAGCACTGGTTCAATCTAGAAAAAAGTATGCCTCCAGTTCTTATATGAGTTGGAGTATTGGGCAAATATCGATCCCAATCCGTTTCCCACCTTTAACGAAACCCAGCCAAGCTTCTTCAACGAAGGCGATACCTGGAAGCAGTAAAAGAACAGCCGCACAGTGTACACCCATCCAAAATATCGGCATATCTTCTCAAAGACCCGAACAAACGCCCAAGCATTTGGGTGCAATTGAGAAGGAGCAACCCGTAGGTGGGCTAACACTCTCATCTCGAACTCAGATAAAGGGAACCTCACTTTTTGATCTGTGAAGTGAGTCTTATACACCACGAACCGCCAACGAGATCTCGCCACAC